TCATCCACTTCATCATCCACTTCATCATCCACTTCATCATCCACTTCATCCACTTCCATGGCCGGATTTTTGGGGAAAACGGACGGCCGGATGGAATCGATGGCGATTGGCCCTCCGTAAACGCGAGACACCCACCGTCTGCTCGGCGCAGCACCCGGTCGAACGGGCGGAGAACAGTGGAACCGGTTGGGCATGGGGTGAACCGGTTGGGTCCGAGTTCCGAAAACGGGGCACACACCTGGGCGAGGTGGTGATCAGGAACGGTGTTCCCCCCCAGAAAGGGGGACTTCCAAGATTGGGCTTCAAAGACCACCCCGAAGCTCCTATGGAACTCCAAGCTACTGAGATCTGCTTGGGGGATTTGCTTGGGGATGTCCTTTGCTTTTTGGCGGAGGAAACACCATGGCGGTGGATTCCCAGGAATCCATCAATCATACAAAGCCAGGAGTCTTTTTCCCTTCTTTATATGGTGTTTTCTGGATGTTTAGTCTATACGGTGACTGCTTCACTATGCGTATTTTACTATTTCTTTTTTTTTTCTCTCTCTCTCTCTATATTTATATTACGCGGTTCGAGCTCTTCTCGTCTATCCGGTGGTTCTTCTTCGCAACCGGTGCCAAGACTCACCGTGCGTGACCGACCCTACCTACCGGCTGGGCCACTCGCACGTGTACGCCCACGTGTTCCGCGCGGACCGAGGACAACTTTGTGAAGCTGGTGAGCTGGTACGACAACGAATGGGGCACCGATGCTCAGAACCGAAAGAAGCGGTGGACACGGTCTTGGCATTGGCGCCTGGTTCCGAGACCCGCATGGAACCCGCAAACCAGTGGGGTTGTTTGAGGAAAAGAGTCCTCCAGCCAGGTCCCATGCCATCAGCTTCCATTTTCAGGTTTCATCTGATCAGCTTGGGGACACTTCCCGGTTTCAATCATTGAAATGGGCCTGGCCCCAACCAACTAAGTGGTCCCCCACAACGACCGCCCCTCGGCGGTGCGTTCCCTCCACGTCATCCCCGCCCACCCCGTCCGCTGAGGCTACTCGAACCGCCTCGTGGAGCTCGCCATCCACATGAAGAAGGTGGACGGCTGAGGCGCCTGGCGCCGGCGGCGCGTCCGCGGCGCGTCCAGTGGTGGACGGACGGAGGGATGGGGGAAGGAAGCGATGCGCCGTGCCTTTCTTGTGCATGGCAAAAAGGACACCAGGAGGACACATGAGGTAATCTTAATTCTAAGAAAGAAAGAGGACACACACACACACATGAGACATTGGAGAGTTCTCTTGAGAACATTTTAAACTCTGCGAACTTGAGAAACTCGGAGCTTTCAAGTCCGCCAGATCTCGGTGAGTGCACTCCGTTCCCGGGTGGAGGGTTCCCGGCCAAACGCCCTCCTTCGGTGGAGGTTTTGTTCAGCTGGGTCGGTGGGGCCGTTTGGGCAAATGTCCTTTGCACATCGAGGAGGTGACATTCAGCGAAGACATCCACTCTTTGAGCATCTCATGAATCGATCATGGGAAATGGAACGACCAGTTCGAAGGAACGACGATGTTAGGAGATGTGTGAAGTAAGGAGATGTTAGGATATTAACAAACACATCGAGTTAGGATATGCGGAACGGGATGTATGTTTTCTTTGGAGGAACGACTGGTCGGACCAGACAGGATGAAGTGTTTCCTCGGACTGGGTCGCCTCCGGGGGTCGCCCTGTGCAGGTGGCCGTGTCGATTTGAACTTCGAGTCCCAGCCGATCTGGTCCAGAGCGAAGCCATCCTCGCTGGTTGAAGTGTTGAGCGCCCTAGCACGCCATCCTCGAAAGTATTTGGGGTTTGTTCTGTTTGGTGTTAACTCAGGTGTTCCAAAACGATGTGGCAATCGGCACGTCAAATCAGTTCCCTCTCAAGACACGATTCAATGACTTCAATGGCACCTTCCATCTACTAGAGAAGGTTGCCTTGACTGTTGAGTGTGCTGCCAACAAAAAGTCGACAATGAAACACTCGTGGGTTTCTCTGCAGCCTTTGTTTGTTTGAAGTCATGTTTGTAACGCCGTGGGACTAGGAAACATGTAGCAGGAAAGATGATCCTTTTCTGTACTTTGAAGGTTTGGAAAGGATATCCTAGATGGAAGGGTATGGGTTGTCGAGAAAACGAGAGACACACCGAAAAGGTCTTTCAGTGACCCCGTTGTGCCAATCAGCAAGTTGTTGGAGGATGGTGACGTTCATTCTTGTGCGTAGCGGGGCATGGTGCGGGGGCCGCGACTCATGTATTGGGGAGAAGAGTGGTGAAGATGGGAGCTGGCGTGAGGAAGAAAGCAGCCAGATAGAAGGGAAGCTTCACAAAGATGTATAAAAGGACACTTTTGTGACTTGTGACAACTTGTGATCCATGTGCCGGGTCTCTGTTGTTTACTTTGCCCTGTTGACACGCCAACACGCCAAGGCACACTCGACGAACATTTTTCACGAGCCAGTGCGGCTACTTTGAACCTTGTAAGCCAGGTTTCCATCATGGATTCCCACCAGATCGATTCCGGCAGACGAATAACGAACTCATCTAACTCCTGAAAGACTACTGAACATGATGTCAGTTTGAGTATAGTATATTTATTTGTTACATTTTTTTCCACCAACTTTGATCACTTCCCCCAAACACCGAAGACCTTCCTGAGAGCTCTTCTTAGTCCTCCTGAAGTTGATCGTTGACTTGGGCGTTGCTCAACCTACTTGAAGGATTCACCGCATATTTTTATTTGTAGAACATGCGGAACATGGCCACTTGACTCTAGCCATGGGACTGGAGCGGCGAATTTTTTTCCCAGACTCCCCAGAAGCAGCTTCGCAAGAGACGACTTCTGGATGGGGTTTAGTAGGGAAGCTAGCACAACACTGTGAATGTAGATAGCACAACCATCAGGCACATTCACACATTCACTATACAAGCAACGTGGACTCATGTTGTGTCCTTTGTTTTGGCTCCCTTTTTGCACGACCGAGCGCCCTCTTCCGCTCATGGTGGCCAGCGCTGTGAACTTCTGCGTAGTGACTCGTAGTGACTGAGACCTTGGGCAAAGTCAGGGGTCTCTGTCAGCCACGTTGCTCGCCGTCAGTGGGATGGTGATTGGAACTCACAGCTGCTTACAGAAATGGTCATCCGAAATGGTCGATCAAAAACGAAAATGGGGAAAACCGAGAACCGCGCCGATGGACACTTCAGTCAGTCTTTGAAGTGAAGGAACACCATCGATGAAGACGGAACTCACGAACAGAACGTCTCCTGCAACGGGAATCTACTTGTGACCACCGTTTTCAGAACTGCTCATTGGTTGGGATCGCGATTTTTGGGGTCGAAAGCTGGGCCACAGTTTCTGACCTGACCTGGCAAGTAGAACACTTTCATGCACCCTACTGGTAGAGTCTAGTATGTTGGAAGCCTGGCTCTGGGTTCCATGCAGAATTATGGCTTTTAGAATTATGGCTTTTAGACACACACACACACACATCTCTCTGTCTCTCTCTATATCTCTCATCAGTCCTCCTTTCAAAGCTTCTAACGATACCTGGGAATCAAGAAGTATATTGAGTCTACATCAAAGACGTTTTGAACACCACATCCTCAAACTCTCCAGCTGGTATGTGCTATCTCTGAAACCCGAGCGACGGGCATCCCTTTAGCGAGTGGCTGGGCGAGTGGCTGGGACCAAAAGTGGTTGCGCGGTGGGCGCGTTGGATGTCTCCAGGTCCCGATCTCACCCCCACAAGTGCCCATGGTTTCGGTGGACCTCCCGAAATAGAGGCATCGGACAACCGGGTTCCGGGGCGTAATTATTACCCACACTCAGAATCAGTCTTGGGATCATGTGGCCGGAGTGAAAGCTCAGTGGTGAGGAGTGGCTTAAGTATGCAGCTTGGTGCATTGAAATCTGAAGCTGAATTTGTCAGTCTGGTGGATCTCAGTCGGGTGTCAAGTGCATGAGGCACTGGGCCAACCTCCAGTCCACTTGTATTGCCTACCCCAAGGCCCGAGTGGGCGCAGATGAGGCTCACATGTGGCTCCGAACCATTCAGACCCGGCCCAATCTCCAGCCAAAACCAACACCCAAACGAAACGACCGATGCCAAAGGGAACCTCCAAAAAGGTGCTAAAACATTGGTGGTTCCTCCTTCCCTTTTTTGGCCATGTCGCTTCTTCTTCGTTTCGCCGTTTGGATCTCTCCACCGGCCGAGCCCGTGAGCCGCCGCGGGCGGCCGCGGCTGCCCCGGTGCGGGCGGTCAAGACGGGAAGAGGGGACGCGTCGCAGAGAGTGACAGGAGGCACTTTTGTAGAGTGGCAGGAGTGATTTAGCAATTTCTATGGGATTGAAAAAAGAATCAATAGTCTAGATTTTTTATTCTTATTTCTATGGATTCCATGGGGTATCATTCTCCATGTGTAACGCTCTTTTGTTTTCCGTTTTCTTTGCGGGGAACCATTTTTTTGCGTCGATGAGTTGTTTTTGAGAGGGGATATATAGTTTCCTTTTGTTGCATGTTTACATGTCTTGGTTACTTCGGGGAGTTCTTCACCAGGGTGGAAGCGTTGTTACGGACCTATAGATGTTGTTACAGGCTTTTGAAGGTCCCCAGCAACGCGGCGCGTTTTAGGATGTCCGAGGGTTTGGGTGGGATTCGGCCTCCAACAAGGGCCTTTTTGGAACACTCCGGTCTCCGGTCCCCCCGAAAGCATCTGGCCGGACGCGCCGGCAACCACTGGGTGGAGGACCGGACATAAAGAATGGATGCAGAGGGGAGGTTGGTGAGTTCCTCACCTTAGTTCAATTTCAGCATTCTGCATTCTGGATTCTTCGCTTTTTCGAATGCTGATTTAGGTGAAAAGTGTGAACACAGCGGTCACTGGAAGAGTCACAGTTGCTTACCTGTCTTTGAACGCGATCGAGAGGGCTGATATGCTCAAATCCGCGGTTGCAAAGGTTCTTGCAGGTTCTTTGTTTGACTGATGCCCAGGTCTCGTATCATCCCTCCAATTCCTACACTTTGCTCAAGTGCGATTTTCCAACACCCTTTCCATGATTTTTGACTTGATGTCTCTTTGTGCTCTCCCAAAGTTGCAGTTTCAACACGATTCCAATTGCAGTGACCTCTCTCTCTCTCTCTCTGTGTTTCCTCCTCTCTGTTCCAGACAGAACTTCCACACCCCGCCAGGTTGCAACGCCATGGGGTCTGAGAGCCCAGCATGAATGAGATGAGCCGAATGTCGCTGCGACGTCGTGTGAGGACGTGTGAGGGTCAGGTCGAGTCTGATGTTGCCATGGGCTGCAGCACTCCTGCAGCACTCCTCTGTTTGACAGCCAAGACATGGGACCTCCACACCGAGGTCCCGCATGAAGGATGTGCAGAGGAAGCTGGATTTGAGCTTGGAGGAGTGGGGGGTATGACTACTTGTAGGTCGTTCTGGACCATGCTGGGGCGAGAATCTCGGAACTGCCGGCCAGGCCAAGTTGGGTCGAAATGTGGGGAGTTGGGGTTTCTCTTCCTTCCCCAGTCCAGATCACCCACCTCAACGGCCCCGGTCTCCTGGGCAGGACCTGGTCGAGGAGTCCAAGTCCGGCGGAGGCCGCCGAGGGTCGGACCGTCTCTGCTGGTGGGGCTGGGCGAGTCTGCAAACCCCTTGAGGGCTTTGCGAGGTGATTCTACGGTGATGGTTCTTCTCGGAGCAGCTTGGAGATGTGAAACGACCGTGAAAAGAGCCACACTTTTGGGCGGATTCTCTGTGGAAGAGGTGGTAGATGATGGTAGATGTGATAGATGTGAGAAACCGCCCAGCCAACGGTCGCACCACGCGGTGGCACCGGGGCACCCTCGTCCCGCGGACCTCGGCCTGGGGGCGCACCGGACGGAGGCCGTCAGAGCACTCGAAAGCGGCGGCGTCCGTCGGCCTCAGATGGGAGAATTGGTGCAGATTTTATATCTATATAGATAGATAATGATAGATAGATATGTATATATATATATCTATATCTATATACCTATATATAAGATGATTGGCTCAAGGTTTCGGCTCGAGGCGCAGGTTTCTCATCCTTGCTTCCTCGCACTACGCGTCTCCGAGCCGGACACCTTGGAATCCGAAGCGGGTGGCCTCTGCGGCAGCATGGAGTGGTCCTCACGATCTTCCTCATGGAGACGGACCTACCAGTGTTGCCAAGGACCTGCATGCTCCAACTGGATTTGGCAAGACAAAATATGTGAGGGCTATGTCTGCCGCCAATGTGGCTTGGCCTGGTCAAGACCTCCTCAAGGCTACAGCAGTCACCCTTCCTCCCGACGATCTCCTACCCGGTCTCAAGGAAGGTTCGCTCCTCGACAGAAGCCAGTGACCCCCCCCGCCGGGGTTAGGAGGGCACAGAAGTTCCAAGATAGGCCAAGTCCACAAAGCCACCACGGACCTGCTCACTACCTCCTGGAGTTCCTTGGATTCCAAGCTGCAAGCTCAGTTGGAACAGCTAGGAATCAAACCTCCTGCCCACGAGAAGGAGCCTGAGCTGACAGACGTCCTCAAGGAGAACATGGCTCAGCTGCCCACTGCGGTCAAGGAGCTGGTGGAGCGCATCACGCGTCCGCCGCCTGAGACCGAGAAGGACATGGCCTTGAAGTTGAAGACCCAAGTCTCTGCCTTGAGAGATCTGTCCCATCGGAAACAAGTCCTTCAGGCAAAGATTGACTCCACGAAGAAGACATACTCTGACATGTTGGAGGATATGAAAGCCCTTCAATCCAAGCTGGAGGCCGAGCAGTCTGCCCTGAACACAACAAGTGCTGCCTACATGGCCCTGGTCAACACCCAGAAGCCTGCCGAAGCACTCCAGGATGGTCAGCCCATGGAAGACACAGTCCCAGACGCGGTCGCTGGTTTTATCACCACTTTAGGTGTCAATCTCACAGCTGATCAAAAGGCTCAGCTCAGTTTGATGTTGAAGCGCCCTCCCACGGACCCAACAGAGGAGGAGAACAAGCGTCGCAAAACAGCTGAGACCCAGTCGTGTGGGTAACCTTCCAGAGAGAGATCAAAATGCTCCCACCATGGATGTGGGTCTCTTAGGGGTGGCTGATTCACTTCAGCCGCATGGGGGACCTCAATTAAGTTGCACGGGGACAGTCAACTCTTTTGACTCTTTAGCCGTTCCAGGCTCGAACGAGGACCAGGGTAGCCGCGGGACCTATGGACCCTGGCGTTCGCAGCCCACCTTTTTCAAACTGAGAGGAGGTGGATCCCACTCTACCATCTCCGACGAGGGCCTACAGTCCAACCCAGGGGCACCGAGTTCCTCTACCTCAGGGCGGACCCTCCCGGGTACTGCCAATCACGGGACCCCACGGGATAGACTGGCCAGGCTCTTGCTTACCATCATGGATGATGAAGATCATCCAACGCATGAGGAAGTTTTGACACCGGGCCAACAGGCCTTATATGATCTATGCAAGCATGACCTTTGGACATCGTGCCGAGCTTTTGAGACTGGGTGGCAACGTGCACAAGGTCAACAATTCCTTGTCGATCTCAAACGCATGGAAACCGTTCTCCACAAGCTCCTTGCACTTCAAGGGGACCTTCCCCATTTGCCCATCAACGTTTATGTGATTGGGCAGGCCTTGACCAGTCGACTCCTCAACTCCCAAAATCTATGCTTCGGTAACTCTGCTTTCCGGTGCTGGAGTTGGGTTGGAGCTCATGCGGAAGATCCCTCCATTGCTTGGGGACGCACACACCAGGCTGTGCGCACTTTTCTGGAGGAAAACGAACCCATCTCCCTCAGGGACTTGTCCTCCCTAGAGCCGCTTTGGCAACACTTTCAACAGGGCCAACAAGCGGACGTCGGGGACTTCGTGGGCCATTTGGCTAACTTGGCCAATGGCACCTTCATCGGAGGCAAGTTTTATCATGTCACCAAGGAAGGGCGTTTGGACGAGAGAGAGCAAATTCCCTTGAACATGATATGCCCGGGCGGTGACTCTCCGATCTCCCTGGATGACATCGTCAACCTTTGGGCAGAAGAAGAAGGGGGACAATATCTGTATGGCACACCAGGGGGCCTCATCATCCACATCCAGCGCTCTTTGCTGGTTGAAGGCCAGTGGACCAAACACAACCGTCCATTGGACCTTTCTACGACCATCACCATTCCCTTCTCTGAGGATGGCATCAATGTGCACTCAGCCACCTACAGGATCGTCAGCATGATTCTGCACCAAGGCCATGGGCACCAAAACGGCCACTATGTTGCCATCCATGCCATGGACAATGCTTACTGGTATGCTGATGATGGCACCTTTCCGGCTCCTCTTCCTCACTTGCTGGACAGCCACCGACAAGACATTGTCCAAGTTTGGTTGGTTCACGAATGCAGCGGAGAATTGGTTCCGGACACCGTAGAAGCTCTGGAACCGAGTCAGCCAAAGAGAGCCCGACACCACACGGAGACTCTTCACTTTGTGTTTGCCAATGTGACCTCCTTTGGACGAAGGGTGCAAGATTGGGTTTGGACCAAAGGAGAACACATTCTCCTTTTCCAAGAAACGCACCTTGGGCAAAAGAAGATGGAAGAAGCTCAACAATACTTCAACACTCGAGGATGGAAAAGCCATGGCCTTCCGGCGGAACCCACGGGCAGAGGAGGCAACACTGGAGGCTTCCTCATTCTACATGGCACTCGTCACCTCACTCATGTGGCTCACTCCTACATCCAAGAAGGCAATGGCTGGATGGCTCTTGGCCTTCAACGACAGGGCACCACCTTCTTCCTCATCCAGCTCTACTTGCGCACGGGAGAGACCCTTCAGTCACCTCTTAATGCATCCATCCTGGGCAACCTTTTGGCTTTCCTCGAGCAGATCCAGGCTCCTTTCATTGTGGGGGGCGATTGGCAGAACGAGCCGGAGGCACTAGCGGCCACGGTCATCCAAAGTCGGTTCAAAGCTCAGATCATCAGCCCTGACGCATCCACCACCCTTCAAGGCTCCATGATTGACTATTTGCTGGTCTCCCAAGCCTTGGCCAGCTGTGTCTCCCTACAAGTCGATTGGGATGTCCCTTGGAAGCCTCATTGTGGACTCATGGTGGATCTGCATTGTGATCAAGCGGAGATCCAAGTCCAACAACTTCAACGTTTCCCACCCATCGGACGCACCATGCAGCTGCCTGCGTCATGGACATCCTTTTGGGAAGAAGATGGGCCCTTCCACATCATGGGCCACCCCATCACGGGATTGGGATCCGACTTAGCCAGATGGGCCACCCAAACGGAGAAGTACCTCACACAGCTCCTCCACAATCCCACTACGGGGAGAGGAAGCAGGATCCACCTCTACAACGCTCCGTTGGTTGACCAAGGCCGGTCCTTGACGTGGCGAAAGGGCCATCTAGCCTTCTGGGAGAAGATGAAAGTACGCATCAATGTTGTACATCAGACCCAGCATGGCCGGATTGCCACCGATCTCCTCAACATGATGGATGGATTGCAGGCCCATGCTTCGGAGCACATGAGCCAAGATCTCTTCAAGGCTCTGCTTGGCCACTGGATTGAGCATCCTACGAATGAGCCCACTGAACTCCGACGGATCATTGCTGAAGAAGAGCAACTTGCTCACCAGAGGCTTTTCAGCAGCACAAATGAGGAATACCGTCTTTGGCTTGAGAAAGCCCATGAGAAAGGCCTCCGTGGTCTCTTTCGGAGCCTTCGCCAGCGGGACATCCCTTGGCAAAGACCTTTCCAGCACCTCCCTGCTGGGGAAAGACTACAGGCTAGAGAAGCTCAATGGGGTGCCATTTGGCAGCCTCGGGACGACCCTCGCCCGATTCGTTCCTGGGACCTTCTTCGCCAGGCTGCAATCGACCAAGCTCAACAACTCCCACCTTTTCAATCGTATCAGCTGCAGCAACTTATGCGACGACTACCCAACAAGGCAGCGGGTCCGGATGGCATCTCCTATGATTTCCTGAGGCATTTGCCATTTCCGGCGGTGGAGAAACTGGCAGACCTCCTGACCACCATGGAAAGGGAGGGAGAGCTGGCTGTCCAGCTTCGAGCCACCAACATTGTGCTCATCCCCAAGAACTGCAAGGTGGAGAGGCCCATTGCCCTGACAAGCTGCATCTACCGGGTGTGGTGCTCCTACAGGAAAGCAGACCTACAACGATGGCAATTGTCTCTGGATGAGAAGCTCCCTTGGGACCAAGCTCGACCAGGCAGAGATTGTTTGAGCATTGCGATTGGCAGAATGCTACATGCTGAAATTGCTCGACATCAAGGCATCCACACGGTCACCTGCCTTGCTGATCTCACCTGCTTTTATGACCACGTTGACTTGGACCAGATCATTGAACCTGCCAGAGACTTGGCCTATCCCCCGCTGCACCTCAAGTTTGCCATGGACCTGTACACGGGGCCCCGCACTCTGCAAGCGGAAGGGGTCAATGGAAACCCTCGGCATTATGACAAAGGCATTCTCCAGGGATGTCCTCAAGCCCCTGCCATCTCCAAGCTCATACTCTATCGGCCACTGGAAGCGCTGGTCAAAGCCCACCCTGCAGCTTCTTTGCAGACATGGGTCGATGATGTCAGTTTCGACATCCACAGTCGGGATGCAGACTTCGCGGCCCGAGAGGCACTTGGCGCTTTCCGCACCCTCAAGTGGCAAATGGAGCAAGCAGGTCTGGTTTTGAACACCGACAAAACGGGTTTCATCACAAGCTCCAAGGAGTCCGCCAAAGCCCTCAAAGCCTTGCTGCAAGAAGGTGATCCGGAACACTATGATGTTCTCCGGGATTTGGGAGTGGATTCAACGGCTGGTCGGCGACGACGGGTGCCCCAGATACGCAAGAGGTTCCTCAAGGGCAAAGGCAGAGTGGGCATTATGCATCGTCTGCGCATAGCCCAGGGCATCCGCTACCGGCTACACAAGGGAGCGGTGCACCCGGTTATGTCTTGGGGGGCCCAAGCCAATGGTCTAGCGCCACAACGGAGGCACCAGTTGAGAGTGCTGGCCGCCAGAGGCCTCAGGCTTCAACGCTCAGGGTCGGTGGACATCGTCTTTGACATGCATCCCTCTCAGCCTGACCCGGGAGACTCAATCATCCTCCAGCATTTGCACACCATTTGGAAGGTCTATCATGGCTTCCCTGAGAACAAGCAACACCTGTTCTGGACCAGCTGGAACACCGCCCTAGGGGCCTTGCACAAAGCCAAGTACAAGTGGCAGGTTGTCTCTGGCCCTCTGCAGGCCCTTCAAGCCTACATGATGGATCTCGACTTCGACATCTCGGATGGACAGAAATGGAAGCGAACAGGCTATGGGGGCATCCCGGACTGTGTGCTCAGCCTAACTGATCCGTGGCCACTCCTGCATCACAAGCTCACGCAAGAATTCCGGTGGCAACGCCTTCTTCGTCTGACCAGGTATGATGGTTGCCATGACCTAGAAAGGCCGTTGGATTGGATGATCAGCCAGCACATCCAGAGAACCACCAGCGAGAACATCGCCACTGGGTTGAGAGCCTTTCATCAGGGCACCTTGCATGGCCTCACTGGCCACTGTCCTTTGTGTGGAGTTGAGCTGACCTTCATCCACCTTCTGTGGCAGTGCTCCTTTTGGCAAGGAAGGGTCAAGCCACTCTCCAAGGAATGGACCAATCGCCTGGAAGTTGGCACAGATCCCGAGCTTTGGCAGAGAGGCTTGGTTCAGCGCATCTTCTATGAGCCGGAAGAAGGCTCTTCCACCCTGGAGGGCACTGGGGTATGGAAAGATCTCGGGCACCTCAGGCTGCAAAAAGGACACATCTGCTCCATCGCAGTGGCCCCCACGTGTGGAGACAAAAGGCACAAGCGCTTTGCCTTTGCAATCTGTGTGCACCTGACCACCAACAAGCAGCAGGTTGGCTCCATCACGGGCATATGTCCGGGCCCCGCCACCAAACAAAGGGCCATTTTCTATGCCATGAAGCAGCTTGCTCTGCATGTCTTGGAGAAGACTCCAGTGGCACTATATGACACAGCCGCTTGGAAGAACTGGAAGCCACATGTGGCCTTTGAAACCTTTCCGGATCTTTTCACGGGCCTTGAATTTGAAGATTTCGATCATGTTTGGCCTCTTCTCTTCTCCCGAGCTGAACTGGACCAGAACGATATGAGACGAGTCACTCAGAAAGACACCCAGAAAGCGGCAGACAACACGGGCAAGCTTTTTGAACCAAAGGAGATCCTCGACTTGCAGTCACACATCGACGATGATGCCCATGCCATCCTTCTCAGTGCAGGTGAGCGAATGAGCATTTTGCTCAGGTGCAAAGAACATTTCCTGCACCGCAAGGAAGCCGACATCCAACAGAAGATCCCGCTTGCTCAGCAAAAGAAGGAGATCCTCCAAGATCTTTTGCACAAGACTTCTCCCAAGGGCCATCAATGGGAGGTCTTCAGAAGTGGCATCCAATGCCGAGTATGCCGTTTGCGATACCACAGCAAGAGTCTCTTGAGTGAGTTGAAGGAGGCTTCCGACAAACCGTGCCACCAAGAAGTTCGTCCGAGCCCACCGAAGCAGACCAGGATGGAGATGATCCATGCCCTGATAGCTGCCCAGCAAGGCCCACAACAAGGAGTCCACCACTTGCAGTTGGACCGGGCCTACCTGAGGTGCTCAGTTTGTCGGTGCTACATTTTAGCCAGGACAAATGAAGAAGCTTTCAGCCGGTTTGTGGGAGAACCTTGCTACCACGGACCCTTGGAAGCAAGCCTCTGGGAAGGCCATGGATCGCACACCATGGTGCGCACCGGCCACACTTTGGAGTGCTCGCGATGCAACGCCCGCACTCGCATGTCGGATGGCATGCCGATCTTGACCAGCAGGCTCAAGGCCCGCTGTGTGTACATGCGCCAGAGAGATTTGCGACAGATGTTCGCTTGACCTCATGCAGTCCCAAAAGGCGTGCAAAAAAAAAAATATATATAAGATGATTTTCCCAACCCCTCCTATTGATTTTCAGGAATGATTTTGTCGATTGGTCGAGGATTGGGAGTGACTTTGACACATGCGTGGCAAGGGGAGTCACGTCACGCACTGCTTGATCGATCGGCTGTAAGCACCTATTCGTGACTTTTCAATGCGGCGTATTCAATGAATTCACAGGCAACAGGTCCAGAGGAAAGGTGGAATATTTGAGTCTACACTCCCATGACTGGTTCAGCAGGGCCATCAGAGATCAATGGAATCAGTTGCAGAATTGTACAGTATGGATCTCCACCATCGTCAAGGGGTGCTCAGACCGATTGTTAGCTTCAAGGTCTGAAGGAACAGGAGCGCCACATCATCAGCCCTTCACATTCACATCCTCCTTTTTGAGGAGCAGTCGGCCAGTCCGCAGAGTGCGTGTGTTCACGGCTGAGGAGTCCGCAGCGAGGAGGCTCCGGAGAAGGCTCCGAAGTCGGAGAAGGAGACGGCGGAGAAGGAGAAGGCGGAGTCTGAGAAGGAGGATTCCAAGGAGGAGAAGAGAGAAGAGGACAGTTTTGAACCACTTCCCGAAACACGGGGTGATGTCTCTCATCACTTGGCCGAAATGGGAGGTGTTGTTTTTCAGCCTTCAGCCGATTCGCCCGACAAGCGGGGCTGAACACTGGGAAGATGCGAAAGGATCCAGTCACACAGGGAACGAAGAGTGAACGACAGTTATGGACAGTTGAACGACAAATCGGGCAGGCCATTTATGTTTTTTTTACTGTAACAGAACCCATGAATCCGTTTAGATAACCCAAGCGACTTGTTTTTTTGGACCCTGGTTCGAAGTCCATCTGGCAAACACTCAAGCAAAAAGACTTCTGGGTAGGTTCTCAGATGGGCTGGATCATCTCACCACACGTGTTTTGTTCCTGATGTTCATTTTCACACGAGCCAAACGAAACGTTTCGACGTTTTTCGCAAAGCATGCGCCTTGAGACCCACTCCTCGTCCGTCAAAATTCAGCACCATCAGCCTCAAACACACAGAAACCCTCCCTCCTTTTCACTCCGCCCTCCCACTCCGCCCTCTGGCCCGCCACCGCGCCCCGTTTCAGCCGCTTTTGGCAGGACCGGAGTCCGCGGCCGCCGCGGCGGGATTGGCACGCCGAGCCCCGGAGGTACCGACCCGGTGAGAGGTCGAACGTGGCTGGGATTTGGTGACGTGGGGCCTGGGAGGTGTCGACATGTTTGGGGTGGAAGGTGGGGGGGTGTATATACTTGGAGAGAATTGTGAGTGATGGATAGCTTTCCTCCCACACTCTACAGAAACACGCAAGGTGTGGACAAGGCCTAGATAGCTTTGCCAAAGTCATCTATCAACAAAAAGTGGTCAACAGGCTCTAAGAGAGCGACGTGCCTTCACTAGACAGCCAATCTTTGGTATCAGCACGGCTCAGAAAGAAACCTCTATAAATGACAACGTCTCCATCAGCGTGGCCGATCCAGTCCCGTCTCCCCACACAACAAGGGGAAGAAGAGGCCATTCACAGAGGCTGCACTAGATGTGCCTGAAAATCAGGCCAGTGGCCAGCCGCGCGCCATGAGGGGCGCATGAGGTAGATGGGTCTGGCTCCAGTTGTTGTGCGATGGAACGACGTGCTCGCGGCCCGTGCTCTCCATTTTGGGTGGGGCAATGATGATGGATGATAATGGCTGCGTCCAGTCCAGTCCAGCCATGGCCAAGACAGAAGGAACAAGAAACCACTCCTGCATTCTCATTAAGGTTTTGCACAGCTGAGCACTCCAAGCACCATGCAACGCGCTTGGAGCGCACTATATTGCCGTGTTGTTTTGATCAAGAAGCGCCCCCCCCCTTTACACATTTGCTTAACCACCTCCATACAAAAAGGGGCTTCACCCATCACCGTAGTCTTAACACGAGTGAATCTGGTGTGGAATCGGTGTTAGACCCAATTAAGTTAAAATAGGGAGACCTGCCAGGGCGAGCCCCTGGAAGCAGGGAAATAGAGAGACAATCTAATTAGGTTGGGGGTCTCCCTAGTACAATACACACTCAATTCACCATCCGCCCCACCCCACTTCTGCGTGAGGCGTACCGAGGCTGACCTGGCCGCTGGAGCTCGGCGAACGGGGAGGCGGCTAGCCGCCTGCGTGGTCGGGTTTGTCTCCAACATCGTCAAAGATCACAGGGGACAGGAGTTTATTCATGTTTCAAGCCAACTCTCTCTATTGGACATGACATGGGCAACATTTTAAAGGGAAAAAGCACCTCGCAATGCTGGTGGCTATTTCGGTGCACTAGGGTTGAGGCATGTTGAGGCGATTTGAGGTATGGGCAGCCAGTTGGCACAGCAAGAGCCGGGTACTGCAGTGTTGCTGCTTTGGCGGTTGTCACCTCCATTTGCAATCTTCCATCACCTTCCTATCAATCGCTTGGAACAGTACCCGCATGTGCTGTCCGTGGCTGGACGCAAGCTGCTTGGAAGTCCGTGCCAGTGGCTGCCTTCTCTTTGTTTGGGTCCATCCTTTTCAGCGTCCAAGCCAAACACCGCCCATCTCTCCCTCACCGGACCTGCTTCCTTCGGCCTCAAAGGACCAATTAGCCAGTGGTGGATGATGGTGGATGGTTCTCCCTTCTCCCTTCGAACCTCCGGGTAAACACCCACCATCGAGGCCATCGAGCTCGGTCAAGTAGATTGGCTTGGTATCGAAGAGAAGAACAAACGCTCCAGCACCGTCGGTCTCACCTGGCTGGTTTCGCCCCAGCCCACGACCTATAGGGAGCTCCAGACAGGACACCCCAAAAAAGAGGTCCAGGCTGGTTTTTCTGTTCGGACGCAGTCTCTCCGAGCAAAACACCGCCCATCTCTCACTTCCAAGTCTGTTTCCTTCGGCCTTTGGACTAGCGACTAGCAGTGGATGGTTTCCCTTCTCCCTTCGAACCTCCGGGTCAACACACCATCGAGGCCATCGAGGCCATCGAGGCCATCGAGCTCGGTCAAGTCGATTGCTTTGTATCGGACACCTCGGCTTCGGAGCTCGTCAGGCCACCCTCGAGGGCCACGCCGTGGGTGGATCCCAGCGAGTGCGCTGCGCTGCGAAGGGCGTGTGTGGGGGAACGGCGGGGTCGGTCGGGTCGGTGGGTCGGTGAGGAGGAGGAAACCCTCACGGTTCTTGGCCGCATGGAGCTGGGTGGTTTCTTTTGGTCCCATCCAGGGGTGGTGGGTGTGAAGTCGCGGCACCCCCGACTTGCCCCGGTTCGGCACCCGTCCTCCATGGAACGGAGATTTTTCTGGCGTGGGGTCCCTTCAGGTGGGGTCGAAGCGAGTTTCTTTTCCATGCAGGAGATGGTAGTATAATGTAGTATACATCCCCAACTGTTGGTCCGGGTAGATGTTCAATGGCGAATCTACCAAGTAAGATGTTCTGTTCTATGCCGACAATGCAAGTTAAGACAGTTCTTCGGATTTCAGACTGATGAAGACTCGCACAACCGAACTGATGCAGACGAGGCCCCCCACTGCGATCCCAAAGCCCAATCGGGATGAATCCAACCGAACTGATGCAAGCTCTGAAGCATCGTGAATACCTCAAGAAGCAGATTCCAGCCACAAAGGTCTTCAGCTGATCGAACCGTAGGGCAATCAGCATTTGTAACGGGAGAAGACGCCTGTGTTTAACAAAGTCACAACAATTCCAACAACCCTCGCCTTTCATGTTTTTGCATGGTTCGAGCATCTTGAGAGCCAACGCTCTGTTTCTTTGTACAATAGTATATATCCTCGAAATAGCCAGCTCTCCAAATTGGTGCCGGAAACCGAAACCACGGAATGCGGAGGACTATTCGTGAAGTCCGGAGAACAACATAGATAAAACACACAAGTCTTGCTTTTTCCATTTGGATATTTTTTAAAAGAAACGCATTGGACCTCCTTTTTTGGGGGGATGTCTGGACAGTTTCTTGTGACCGCTCACCTTGCTCCGGGGAAAGGAGGCTCCTTTCCAAGCACTCCGGAGCACTCCCGAGGCCGTCGCCGGCGACGTCGGCTCTCCGCCCGGAGACGCGGAGACCAGTCTGGTGGTTGGAGTGGAGTGGTGGATTTGGAGAAATCCGATGTAAAGATGGATGTAAAGATGTATGGATTTTGACACATATCTTATGGATTCTGATCGGCTTTTGCATTGTGCCGGCGCCGCGAGTTTCAAATTGCGCCGCACCGATACACTGATATCCCCCGATATCGGCCGCAGACCGATATTTCCCACCGATAAGTACCCCAGCCCGCTGGGATTTGGGACACCATGATTTATTTTTTTTTTGGATCAATTGATTTTGGATCAATTGATTTGGAGAAGTTGTTTTGGAGAAATGGTTTTGGGACCATGGATGTGGTGTCGAAATTGGAGAACTTCTCCAACCAAGACAGGGGGCAGGTGGATCCTGCTCGGCGATTTTGTCTCTCAAAAACGTCTTTTTCCAGGTTCAATGCTCGTCCCAAGCGTACTGTGGATGGGTATTCCAGCAAGTTTCTGTGGTCACAAAACCCCAAAGAGTCCCAGACCACCATGCATGTACGGAAGAGTCCACGCAGGTAACTACTCCATGCATAGGTCTGGGAATGTACACTTCCAATCGCTGGGATTCTTCGATCCCTGTGATCCCACTCCATGGGCTTTCCTCCCCTCCATCAACCACTCGAACACGGCCTGAGACGGGACATTTGGTTGGTTCACGCTACAGGAGGGGGTGCCCCAACTTGGCAGCCACTATCTTTAGGAGATTGGGCTACGGCTACGGCTGCCTTTGACCTGAAATCATTTTCATGTCATTTGCTCTTCATTCTGGCACTCCCGGAGACCACATGTTTCATACTCAGGAGTTTTTCATGTCTTTTTCATTTTGATCGTTTCTGTTTCATTTTTGTGTTCATTTCTTGTTCATTTCCTCGTCAAATGAAGGATCCTCGCTAGCAACCCGATCCCAGTCTGCGCACAACTTTAAGAATTGTTCACACATGTTTTTTTTGGATTTCAATGTTACTAAATCATTTTTTACATCAGAAAAAACAATTTGTTTTATGCCACAACAGCAACCTGGTGAACAGGGTTGGTTCTGCTTTGGAATCATTCTGGGAGCCGTTGATGTCGAATCCAGCTTGTGAGACCTGAGATGATGAGACACGACTACTGTAAGCATGTTGCGGCGCGTAGGGCTGGGTTGACCATTGATTGGTAGCTCGTGGACTGAGTGACTGTTGGCACAGTTCCACAATACCCTTGGGTACGACATGAGGAAACAGAAGGCTGGCATTGGACCACTGGAAGACTGGTATCCTAGTAAGTTGCTTCATGTCCGCCTGGTCCATGGCAGGACTACTTTTTACTTAAGTCTAGTGCATTCCAGAGACCACCCCAGTGAGATCCTTTGCCCAAATCCATCGCGATAATATCTCAGGTCCGGCCTATCCTCCGTTGATGCCCGCGTGGCCGTCAAGAGCTTAAGAACCAAAAGCCGGAGCATGAGCAGAAGCGGGGGCTCAACCATTTCGATTGCATGGTGGACTTGATGTCAAAGCGTCAAAAAACATGTGGGGTTTGATGCTTTAGAACCATGGGCATCATCGCATGGTGACTCACCGCTGTCAGGGGGTATCCTCCTTACCGAGCTCCCATGTGCGCCCAGAATGGTCCAGCTGGATTGGCTGGGTTCTCCACCGGAAGTCCTGGATTTGCAAGAGAAACTCGACTGATAGTTCTTACTAGACCCATATTTCCTAAGTCACTGGAGCCCAGTGGAGTTCTTACTCATCCCACAATCCTTAACTTATATATGGACTCTTAGGAGGTACTCTGCCGATGCATTCCGCCGCTCCGCTGCGCCGGAGGTACCTGCGGCCGGTGGCGCCGCCGGTCGCGCCGGTCTTCCGGCCGCCGCCCTATGCGATGCCGCTGAGACCGCAAAACACGCGGTGGAGGTGCGCGGTTTTTTGCGTCGCGTGGGGGGAGTCTGAGGATTTTGTTGGTGCTCCAAGTCGTTGATTGGACATGTTTGCAGATGGTTTCCCTTCAGACAAGCCAGGGTAATTAGCTGAGGGTCTCAGTGTGCTCCAAGAGAGGAGATACTCTGTTGAATCAAGGAGCAACATCGATGGTCTTTGGATTTCTGGTTTCGGGGAGAGCTTGTTATCTTGTTTTTGCCTAGTGCCGAATCAAGGGTTTTGTTCGCGAACCAGTGGTGCGAAACTCGTGACTCGTGACGTCCTTCGACTATGAAAGAAGGACGTCCCTCGTTCGGCGACCTGGTCGCCCTTCGGCTGCGACACCGCAAGGGGATTGGCCAACTTGGCCAAGCCAAGCCACGTGTATTCTTTTTCACTGGAAAGGGAGGTTTTGGCTGCAAAACACGCGTTGAGCATTTTGGAACTCAAGAGTTCAAAGGCCGAAATGCTCCACAGCACAGTTGGGTTTGTATTCGATGTGGGTGTGACCTCCCTGGCCCAGATTTAGCAATTTTTTCATGGTCCCAGAGGTCGAACTGAGGGGTCTCCCTAGCTCTTCATACACCCAGTTCAGTTCAAGTGGCATGAAGAGCCAGTCGTTGGTCATGTTTTCAGGCTCCAGTCCCACTCGACCAGGAAAGGGTGGCTTTAGGTTTGGAACCGCTGTTGTACCAGTAGGTGGCAATAGTGCTGATTGGATGCGATTTTACCAACACAACACGTCGCAAACACAACACGTCGCCCAGACGGGTGCGAACAACGGGTCTGCCATGTAAGTCTGGCTGCGGAAGCTGCAAGAATTGAAGAAAGCGGTGAACGGTCCCGAAATGTGAAACATCAGAAGACCGATGGGCTTTCATGCGAGAGGGCAAGTGGATGACTTGGCGACAGAATTCATGGGGGTCTGCCGCCCGCCCCTTTTTGGAGTGGCTAGTGGACGATCGACAGGAACCCAGTTGGGGGATGTGCCTGAAAAACCCGTGATTGCCAAGTCACCTTCACGTCGCTGCCAAGTCGGGCCTCGCGGTCAACGTGGCTCGGACACCCTCGGACACCGTCAGTGACGAGTGCGTCGCCCCCCCGGTGGATCGCCTTGGACCGAGACGAGGTGCAGGTGTTTGGACCGTTGGGACGGTCGCCCGTGTCGGTCTCACGGGTAGCCAAAAATGCAGCGCTTTCCATCTCAGTTTTGGTGTCACTGGATGTTTAACAGAGAAGCGCGGTCCAAACCATCGATCACTGAACCAGATGCTTCCTACTCGCCTAGACCGGAGCTGGTGGACACACCGCTAGAGTCGCTAGAGGGGGGCCCCTGCGTGATTTCATCTCCACGGTCAGTTGCTTTCCAAAAGAAGGTTGGATTCTTTTCCTGTCACATCTTTTGAGCAAAGCAGCGCAGGCCGCCCAGAGCACGATCCTTTTGCAATTGTTGAGACAATTTTGTACTTGTGTCCAACGGCTCCCTCGCAACTGCACGGTTGCCGTTTCAGAAGGAAGACCAGCCCGAAAATGGAATCGCCCGGCTGACCAGCGGTTTGTCCTTGCCCCTTGATGGCGCTGAGCATTGCACGGTGCTTGTCTCCCAAGCGCAAAGCATTTAAGCTGTGTACCAGTGTGAGCCTGCTCACTTGTTGATGCGTGTTCTCATGTTCAGCATGAGCAGAAAGCATCTGAGCTGTGTTCAGTTCGATGTTCTCTTCGAGCGGGGCTATAGACTTGCGGGCTCACCAACTGATGGCTTGTGGGCTCGCTCTGCTGCCTCAGATACTGAGGCCCAGCTACCCTCCTGCAGCGTACCTCTGGCGAGTTTGATCTGGGCACTGGGCCGAGTGATGGATGCAAATTTCTGCAGCATGTGACGCTGCAGAAACATATTGTGCCTCAAACTTGGTTTCTTGCCATGTGTTACCGTACGTGTTTTTTTTGGGTGTTTTTCTGTTCGAATGGTCTACTGGAAACTCAACCAGTTGGACGCTGCTTGATGTGTTTTGGTGGTGACGGAAGACATTTGAGTTGTAATGCACGTTGCGCACGTTGCCTTCAGGCCGGCGCCCGTGCCCGCGCAGTGGGGCCCTTGATTCCTTGATGGTTCATTTTGGGATCACCCTGTGCGACCGCATGAAAGCTGAACATTGGTTGAAACGGTGAAAGACAAACTGATTGCGAGGAATGAACTCTTGAGCAAGAAGGACACCCTGGTGCTCGGTGGTTGCATGTTAATTCATGTGTTGACCTGACACATCGTTTGCAAGGTTCAATCAAAGGTCCCACTTGGAACTGCAGCTTGCGGAGACACAAAACAAACCACATCCAAAGAATCCCTGCTGCCTTTCCATGAAATCTTTAGACCCTGTTGCGTGCCCAGGCCGAGGGCTGGGCCTCCGCCACAGTACCCGCCAGGCAACACTGCGGGTTTTGCGGCGAACGTTTTTTGCAGTCTGATCAATTTGGAGCAACGCACTGCCAAGCTTTTCGTGTCGGATCTTTCCTTTTTTGTTTGCGTTTCTAGTCAGGCGAGTGCTCTCCATGGTGTTTGAAAGATGGGTGAGGGAATATCAATGGACAAAACAGTTGATCTGTCGACGACTTCCTCTCAGAATCCTTTTGTGTCTTTTTTTCTCTCCAGTTTGGCAAACCTCTTGGAAAAAACTGCATCACGTCCCTCTCGGTCCGTGGTCCATTCTGGTTTGGCGGTGGGTGTAATCGATCAAAGTCATTGAAGTCCTGTAGTCCTCCAAGACTAGGTTGGACACGTCAGACCGTTGGACTGCTGTTCTGCTGCTGTTCTGCTGTAGGTTCACGACCCGGTGGTTTCCCTTTGAAATTAGATCCCAAATCATATTGAAGATGCAGAACACGTGAGTTTCCTCAAAGCTGAGTTGACAGAGCCAAGCCCGAAGAAAAAGAAAACCTTCAGCGAGCAGGTCTTCCTGGACATCCTCTCCAGCCTGCAGTGGGGGCCCTGTGGGCCTGGTGGGGGGAGAAGCGACCACTAGTTAGTTGGGTTCTAGATGACACTGCACCTGTCTGTTGAGTGTGTCCGGGTATTGTTGGTTTTCGGACTCACCCATGTATATAAGGATTTCTGCCGTGCGTATTGGAGTAGGTCGGTCTTGCGATGGACATGTAGGTCTTACGCGATGGATGGGCTTGAAAGGTCTAAGGGTCTGAATTCCTCCACCCATCTCAACCCTAAGAACCCCCAACACCTCCTTCTTCAGCCGCCTGGTCACCCGCCTTGTCGCACGGTTTGAGGCGCCGGCTCAGTCTTCCAGGACCGGTCGGGCGGCGCGACCGCGACCGCGACCGGCCGCGGAACGGCGGGGACGGGGTGGGGCTCGAGACGTCGGCCGAGATCGGCGGCGGAGATCCAGGCGGAGATCCGCCAATTCGGATTCCTTTTCTTTGGGATTCTTGAATGTGATCTCATTCTATAGGCTTGTAGGATCTTGTAGGTGCGTCGGTTGAACTGACAAGCTACATTTACACGCCCCCTAGACGGAGAGATTCCACTCCACAAATCCTCATCACTCAAGTCATGTTGACTGTTGATAATGTATCTGGATATATATATATATATTATATAGTGACCATTCTGGTCGGTGCGTTTACTACATCAACCGTCAACCTTACTCTCATACTCTCAACCCATCTCAACGGCTGAGATTCCAGCCGGCTTAACGTGCCTTTTTCTCTTCGCTCCGGTTGTTTCTCTGAGGAAGCGGGAACGGCATCGAGAACGCCGCGGCCCGAGTCGCAACGCTTTCGCTGGAACGATAGATATGATGAAGATATATGCATATATATATAGACACCCGAACCCAGACTATATCGTACATGTTACGGAAAACTGTATGCCTTTTTGAGACTCCGAGCAGTTCTCGATTGAGCAGTTCGATCGCGGAGCCAATGGACCTCCAGCGTTCTTCGTTCGTGAAGAGGTCGACATCCAACGCGGCTCCGGACATCGATCGACCGATTGACCGAGCAACGCACCGATGGAGTTCTTCGAGGGATTTCGTTGAGAACTCGTGGGTGTTCGGTGAATGGACATCCTGCCAGCGAAAGATGGTTCTGGATGTTCTGTTGCTGAATTTGGTTTGTCATGTGGATGGCATAGTCTGGCAGTGGGTGGTTTGTTTTTCTTTTTTGCCCAAAGTTCGTTGAAGCCTCGAGAACACTTTGCTAGACAGCGAACTTCACCAGTCAAAGATTGATCAAGCATATGAGGGGAAGTGCTGCAGATGCTGAATCTGTGGCGAGGTGGAATGGAGTCCCTGGAAGACTGAAAAAGACACTTTGTCAAGGACCATCAGACCATGCCATCCCCCAAAAGAAGGGGCTCCACAACATCCCAAAGAAGTTCTACCATCCATACCATCCACACCATCCATACCGAAAAACAACCAGACTTCTCCCATCATCCCATCATATCCCATCCCAAAGTCACTCCGTAGCCCAAAGTCACAAAAACACCGGCGGGTCCGCCCAAACGCCTCTGACGCCGGCGATGTCGGACGACTGGGCGAAGAAGCCGCCCTATGGCAGTGGACTCTTGGTCGGGAGTCGGTTTGGCATCGGCTGGGATTCTCCAGAGACAAGACATGGAACGCCATCAGGCCCCGGGAGAATCGCCCGGAGAATCAGGCACCGGCCATGTTGATCCGGATTCTCAGGCGACTGCTTGCAGTCTCTCTTTTTGTGGCAAATGGCATGGTTCCCTGGTCCGCCATCGACTGTCCAGTCGCCAGACTGGACATCAGCTGGATCCCCTGGACGTGCCAGAGAAATTGGGACAAGAGAAGGCAGTCCGTGGACACCCATGACTCAATGACCAACCAGTATTCTGCTCGAGTTTCAAGTCATGCGCAGGATGTGCAGATAATGTCAGATAGATGCAGATGGTATCAGATGGTGATTTTGAACCGCCGAGGCTTTGACCAAGCATAGGGAGATAGCAGATTCACGGCCGAGACAGATGGAGTTAACACTCGATCGAAGCTCAATCGAAGCGACCCACATTGTCCAAACGTTAGGGTGACGATGTCCAAGCATGTCCAAACTATCAGAAATGTAGTTGAAGGCCCAATGGGTAGACTGGTCTATTTTCCTTCTTCCAGAGGGTCAAACTGGGAGGCCTCCCTATTTTAACACACATATATGTATATATATCTTATCTACAGTTAGATGTCCACATCCGACCATTCCTCATCTACAGTTAGATGTCCAAGCTATATAGGCTTCAACGAAACCTGCATGATCCTCTCTTCAGGTGAGGGCTTCACGGCAAAGCCACTTGGTGGAAAGGTGGACACGCTCGGGTGCGAGCGCCGGGCTGGCAGTGCTGCACAAAGGGCAGAGAAGCTTCAAGCGGTACGTTACTCTAAATAAACATAATTCAACCCAGAAGTTCAACAAAAAACTTCTATTTATATACTATAGTATATTGATATTTTCATATAAGTACATTTTTACTTTTACTGGATAATTCAACATATATATGTAAAACTTGTTAATCACGACAGGTAGCTTGAGCTACCTGAGTTCTCCTTGCTTTAGCAAAAATGTATTACAATCAGGAGTTGGGATTGTGCATTGAATTTGGTCCTGTAAGAGTTGATTCTGTTCGTCGGGGGGGGGGTCCCCCCCTCCCTGGATCAAATCCCCCCTGCGCCAGTTCACGCCGTCATGGACTTCTACCAGGGTTACTTGTGATTGCCTGCTACCTTTCGTTCATCCGCTCCTCTCTCAAGTTATTTAGGGTTGTTTCGGATAGATATTTTTGGGAATATTGGCAATTAAAGGTTTAATTTTGAAAGACTTTGAAAGACACACAGGCACACACACATACTGTATATATATATGACATATATTACATTCAATGTATTTATATATACACACTGTATTGTAACAAACCAAAGCACTCGTTAAACTTGTTGTTCGTTTGCCATTCATTCATATGAGCATACTTTACTTTAAAAGTTTGTCTTGTCTATACGTCTATAAGCACCTTTAATAAGACCTGCAACTGGACCTTCAAATCCTAGCAACAACTAGGCCCGTCGAATCCGCTCCACTCCGCCCATCCCCACGTTCCGTCACCCTGAAATGGACATGATCTCCTCTTGCATGCTGTTGGTGTTTGCCTGGTCAGTGCAAAGAACATGCAGGAAATACATATCAGACTTTCTGCTAGGTAAGTATGGGAACAGGACTGTTCCTCCAATGTTTGCCAACAATGTGGCCACTTGATTCCAACAGCTGGAAGGAGTCACACCTGTGAATCCCAGGGCCGACTCATCGACCATTGTTTGATCCCCTTTTCTTTTCTTCACGGTCTTGGTGGGTCGTCGTCCGTGCCCGCCCGAGCGATGGGAGATGAAGTGTGCGGCTCGAAAACGACTCTCGGCAATGCGTGCTAGTATACTTTTGTTGGCTTTGGAGACCTTTTGGTGATGAGGGGAGCCTACGGGACGTGTGGCCTTGGATGATGAGGATGCTGGTGCCTTCTGGGAGTGCAGCTTGGCCTTGTGACCTCCATCCCGGATCGTGGCTCTGGGCTTCAGGTTCAGGGCGGGTTAGGCATCATGATCATGATCATGTCATGGCAGCCCTGCTTTACTATGGGTCAAGTCGTGACAAGTCAAGACCCACCAAGCTAGGCTCAAAAGTTTCGAAGACCAATGACCGTGCCGATGCCGGCACTGAAGCCTGCACAGATGACCTGCGAAGCCAACTTTGTCTCTCACCCATCGACTTGACGCCATGCCCGACTCAAAGCCCCGCGACAGTGTGGGTGGATGTTCTGAAGGCTGGGTTCTGGATTTCAGTATGCTACTTGTGCCATTTGGGCTTTTGGGGTCAGGGACCTGAACATTGATACGATCTTTAGTTGAAAACCAACAAGTTCAACGAGTACTTTGGTTCACAGGGCCTCTCTGGATTTTTTCGATTCCACTTTCAACCGGGAACCATTCCCCAACACCCGGGCAGGAGTTCTACAAAGAACGACTTGGAGATGGTGTAAAGTACATCCAGGTTCAATAGCTGTGCAAGGCAAGCCGGTGTCCCGCCCTACACGATGATGCGCGATCTGAAGAGGAAGCGTGCATCTAGACATGATCTCGGGCGGGGGTGGCCTGGATAGTGATAGCATGTTCTGACGTCGATGATTTTCCTTGGATGACATGGGGTTTTGATATTTACGGGCCATGCGTATAGGAATTCACATTCCCAGGTCATGTGCTTCATCCAACTTAAACTGTGTATAGAAATCGCATGTCGTCAGGCAAAAAGAACCAAAACGGCGAAGCATCACCGGATTGCCCTTTTGTCACTTGATGCCTCAAATCCCTGGCAACGTTGACGCGTTCATAGGGACCAAGAATCATAGAGGGAGCACAAACCAGATCTTGATGCCAGGCCGTGCGCGCATATATTCAAGTCTATTTCGCCAATGACCAATGACCAATGACCCGCTCTGCCTGCATGGCTCCACTCTGCCAAAGCCACAATCTTCTGAAAAAGCATTCGTTTCTGACCAGGACGAGGTGCCAGTGTGTGAGCGCCAGGTAGCATGTAGTGGCTCATCCAAGAATTACTTTGAAGCGTTTGGGCACGGCGTCCATATGTAATGGCTGAAATGATGACTGGCGCTGGAGCTGAGTACGATGGCTGTGGAAAGTCCAGCTTAATCAATGTTGAGCACCTGACGTAAAACCTGTCATGTGCATGGGGCTCACGCTGGAGTAGACCCTCTGTGCCAGCTTGAGAACCCTGCATCTGTGAGGATTCATGGCACCCTGCACGATTCTTTTGGCGATAATGGGAGATGCCGGATCGGAGTTGATCGCCTAACTTGGCTGTCCGCGATGACTCCGGACATGAAGGCTTGAATGGCCACAGGGTTTCGATGCGAGGAATGAGATCGGCGTGAACGCAAGTTTCCCACAGCGATGTACTCCGACCTTCGCAAGTTCCTCAGGAAATATCTGCGTGAGAGCGAAATAACTTGCAGCCCTGTGAGCGGCCTTTCCTTCGTCTCCTTTGCTGTTTACATTGCTTTGCGAGGCAATGGCCAGGGCTGCAGAAAGGACAAGGACAAGCGGAGAAGGACAAAGATCAGGTGACAGCAGCAGGACAACAGCAGAGTGACCACTGGAGGATATGAGGAGGACACAGAAGGAATGAAAACAACACGAGCACACCAAGACAAGAGGAGGACAGGAACAGGACGACAGGTGGGCAAGAAGAAAACCACAGGCGGACCTATAGGGCTCACTGCGGCAGCCAAGGACAACAGCAGGACAACTGCAAGCGCCACGAGGGCAAGACAAGAAGTGGGTGATCAGGTACAAGAGGAAAACAGCAGAACAACTCAAGGACAAAAGGAGGACAAGAACAGGACGGTCGACATAAGGACAACAGCAGGTCAGGGCGGGCACTGGTCACGGAGAAAGGGACGCTGCTGGTGATGGTGAAGATGAGGACGAGGATGAAGGCCGGGTGCAGTTTTCAACTTTTTTCGTGTTGAAATTTGCGCTGCTGTCCACTTTCTCAAAGCAAAATTTGCACAGAATGCGCAGGTTCAAGGCCCTGAGCATCCGCTGAACCCCTTTACCCTTTGTTCTCTTCACCTTCTCGCAGCTGAAAGAATGGTTCTTGTCTGTCTTGTTGCGTTGTCTTGCGCTTCTTTAATGTTTTGCAACGTTTTTCAGTGACTTGTGTTGATTTGTAGGGGCTTTGCTCAGTTAGGTGTACAACTGTGTCAGATCACCTAAGCCTACCTCAAATTGTGCGTTGCAGAACTTGCGTTGTTGAGCCTCTTAGACAGCCAGCGACCCTCCAGCGACTCTCCACCACAGCCAGTGACTGATTTGCCATGTGCTTTTTGATTTTCTTTTGCTATTCTTGTTGAAGTCTGTTGGGCAGGATGGCGAAAAAGGCAAATCTGAATGGTTTTCTGATTTCCGGCAGGACGAAGACAAGTGCCAAAAGTCGTCAAGCAGTACCGCTTGCTGATGGCTCTGGCGCGATGAACAAGGAGCCGCCTTGTGTTGGGTTTGCCGTTTGTTTTGTTGGAATGAAGGGCTAAAAGAATGTCGTTGCCTTTTTTGTGTCAGCGTTCAAATCTAGGTGTCAGCGTTGGCAATGTTGGCGTATATGCATTCCATGTTGCGCTTTCGCTTTGCTATCTTGTTGGTCATCGCAGGTGCCGAAAGGTGCTGCGATCCAAAGCCTGGAGAAGGTGACTGCAACGAGCAGGGTCATGTTCAATTCCAAACACAAGATTTTTTGAGGGGACGCATACCTCAAGTTCGTGACAGGGACGCTGACAGAGCAGGAAGGACGATTGGCAAATGCCCAAGCTGAAGCTCAGTGCCTTGGTGATCTCAGCATTCTCCCCTGGCCTACCGCTTTACTTCTTCATTTTTGTTTACCGCAAGTTTGTCTGGTCATTTGAGTTGAGAGGGGGCATTGAACAACGCCGAGGTTGACTTGGAAGTCGATGACCGAGTCCAACCCAAACACAGAGCCACATCTACGACCACAAGGGAAAGGGTGGGCAACCGCGAGCCGCAGCGCCCGCCGGGGAGAGAGCGGAGTTTGCCAACATTGACACCGCCAGGCAAGTGCAGACGCTTCAGCTTTGGCTGCGCGCCTGGTGAAGTCCAATGGCAGTGGATCTGGCGGCAGCGCTTTCATCGGGGCAACAGCTGACGTGAATTTGGACGACTTGGTTGCTCCAGCGCACACAGATCAGGTGGAAGAGAAAGTTGAGGACGGTGACAGCGAGGCTGAGGGTGAAGAGAAGAAGAAGAAGAAGGCGAAGGAAGAGGATGCCAAGGGCAAGGTTCGCAGCGAAGCCAAAAGAAAGGGATGGTTTGACCGGGATGCCGACATTGCCAGCTAAATCCAGGCAGAGACCACCGCGCTCTGCACCCTGGAACGCAAGGTTAAGGAGTGCCAGGACATCTTGGAAACTTTTTCCAAATAGACTGCTCAGTGCCAAGATGAGGTGAAGATTGGGACAGAAACTTTGACCAAGAGGGTCGAGTTCTTGAGTTCTTGCAAGCTGTGCTAGGCCCAGTTGCGGATCAGTTGCAAAATTTGATCCAAGAAATTCAAGACCGCAAGGGCACTGATGAGCTTCCAAAGGATGCAGGGGATGCTGCTGCGGCCACGTCCGTCGACGGCCAAATCAAAAATGCTCCTCCTTCTCAGAGCTTCATGAACCTGAAGACCATAGCGCTTTTTAGGAGCTCTCTTGATGACTTCTGGAAGTGCCAGAGTGCTGCCGAGTTGAAGGAGAAGGCCGCGCGCAGGGCAGTTGCCCGGAAGCCAATCACCGAGCTTTGTCAGGCACGCCCGACCGGCCTGAAAGAGTTGAAAAATGGCATTGGCCGATTTCGAGTCGCGAGCTGAGAAGAGGGCTGCTCCGCCAGCTGGAAAGAAGGCCAAGCAGGATGCCGACACCAATCCTCTGAGAAGAACCTTTTGTTTGACTATGGCCATTCCAGTGAAGGTGCAGTGAAGCCAAAACCTATGTAGACCTAGGTCGGCTGTGTTTAGGGAATCTCACAGACCGGCGATGAAGAAAGCAGTCTGCGCGAACCACATAGAAATCAAATAGAAGATCTAATACAAGCGTTCACTAGAAGATGAACCTCGCACGACAGGTTCAATTAGAAGGTATTAGATTACGAGGCTACTTGGTGGCTTTTGCAAAAGTATCTATATATTCCCTCTTTGATGCTGCACCTTAGCCTCTTTCTTCTGGTTGAAAGTTCTTTTGGCACACGCGGAGAGCAGTTGCAAATAGAAGACGCGCGCTTGAATATTCAGGAGTGTTTTCTATCCCTGAGGTTCGGGGAAATATACATATAATGAATATAGTGTAAAGATATTTGATCAAGTTGTTAGCTGATTTATTCAAGCGCGGTACGATGTTGGTTATGTCAGTGTTTTCGAATGACAATAACAATGTATTTAAAACACAACAACATGACATTTTGATTTGTAATATAATATGCTTTACACATAAATTACAGTTTAAAAACATCTTAAAGTAATAAACATTGAAAACATAACTGATAATATTAATTGGTTTTATGGTAAAACATTGAACCTGAACAAAATATGTGCATAGATTCTCCAAAGGATCCCCCCATGTCCAAAGTTCCAAGCATCCTGACAAGGCATTTTTTGGGGGGTGCCCTTTTTTCCACCCCACCCGTGGGCCGGAATTCGTCAACGTCAAACTCCGACTTCCCGCCGAGGTACGTGGCCCGGTGCTTCTGTCGTCGGGTGAGCTTCGAGGTGAGCAACGACCCGATGACGGCGAAGCGCTTTGAACTGAGGGATGAAGTTGACATGACTGGGTCTTTGCAAGCTAGGCATGGGTTTGGGCGCTCGAAGTCTATCTCTAATCTTTATTTATGTAATTTCTAGGTGATTCTGTTGATCTGAATCTACATGATCCATTTGCTTCCTTTCAGAGGTGGGGGAACGATGACGATCAGGTTTGCTGGCGGTACACCTCGTGCAGAGGTGATTCTGATTTTGTAACATCAAGAAACAGTAAAGGCTCATGGAACCGTGGACACCAATAAACACCTGGAACCCCAAACAACTAGAAACAAATGGTTGTTCCAATATGGCAATTGAAATCCTTTACATAGGAAATGGTTGTTTGGGGAAACATCCATTTCTTTCTGGTTGTTTGGGGTTCCAGGCAGACAAGATTGACCAAGAGGGCAACAAGGGGACGGGAATTTCTATTGAATTTAAGGAACTTTGGGGGGATGACTGCGGTTTTGAAGAAGAGTATCAGGTACCAAGTGAGAAGCTATGCCTGTGTAAGAAACAATTGACATTGGTTGAAAATTGACAGTCATTTCAATACTTTGAGAGCTACACTACACTTCTCATTTGAAACCCTTTTGGCCAGGGCTAGGCCGGTTCGACCACCAGGGGCACAAGCAGCACGAGTTGTGGACCCGAGGAAAGCCGCAGCTGAGGCTTTGTGACTGCAGCGCCTGCCAGCGCCTGCATGGCGCGCCAATGCAGTGGGCGGCACTCTTCCAAAAGACGAGTGACACTTGGAGCAGATTGGAACTGGAGATGCTAAATGGTGGCCGACCAGCCACCTCACTCAACAACTCACTCAACAAGCAACCGACAAGAAGCATCAATCAGCCGCATCATCGACCATCAACAGCGGTCATGGCACTCCTGAAAGTTTCTTTTGTGCTAGAGTATGGGGTGGTCGTTTGTGACTGGGCTGCTAGGAACCCAAGGGCTAAGGCTGTAAAATCAGCGACCCGAGACCCCCAATCGCGCTGACCTCTTTGAACTTGCGAACATTCAAGGACACCCATATGATTTGAACATTTTACAAGGTTACAAGCGTACATAGCATCCCTGAAATTTTCTCCCTGTTTGCATCCTATCATCATCTACATTTTCCACCTTCCTTCCATCAGTTTGACGAGCGAATAGCTTTGCAACTTCTTCGCTCGTGGGCACGCAAGCTGCAAGCTCATCAGCATCAACTTCTACTGTGCTGAACCGACCCAGATTTTGCCATTCCCAAACTCCACTGCTTTCTGGGTAGTAAAACGGCCCTTGCCTGTTTTCGTTTCCATGTGTTGGAAGCTTTGGTTGCCGGGTCTCTTACCTAAATCTACGGGATGTCTGTCCACCTCTGTTGAGGGTTGAGTGGGGCCAATCTACCGTACGCATGTGAAGCAACTGGGTGACACCAGATATGAACCAAACTCCTCCCACATCGCCCCGCAAGACCGAGCAAGGCCAGGCTCACTGTCCAAACATCCCCCCTCCGCAGCCTCGTCCACGCGGAGGGAGGAGGGACGGTAGCGAGTCGCGCCCAGGTGCGGTTTGCCGAGGGGCTCCAGTTCGTGAGGTGGTATCACACGGGCACGGACAGCGTTTGCACCAGCGGTGTGGTCACGTGGCGTAAGCGACTGGGGACTGGGAGGGTGACTGGGTGGGATGATGGGACCGCCAAAGACAGGGTATCTAGTGAGGACCTTGAACAAGTTTGACTTGATGTCAACAGGGGTGGTGAAGACAGATGGGATGTGACCAGCATTCCTGGAAGGTTCCAATGAAGAGAATCAAACCAGGAGTTCCAAAGAGACGCTAAGCTGCTAAATGAAGTCGGGGTGCATCCACTCACTTTGGGACGTTTCACACCACCCAACTCCTTGTGACTCCTGGAACAGCTTATGGAGGTTCGGAGTCAGGTTCGGACTCTCTGACCCTTTTTGCAGCTTCTGTGGGATCCAGGAGCGAAACTTTCACTCTTCTTATATACACTCAGTGGTGGAGAACATAATCCAACAAATCATGCAAAGCTCCGGGACTCCTGGGAACTCAGTGGGTGAGTTCCTCAGAGTCGCAATCTTTTGACAAATCCTCCGTTTTGGGACCGAGCGATTTCTTGCTCGGTGTAGAACCAACTCTTCTCCGATTTCTTGGTCTACTGACCGTAGCGAAAAAGTGAGGACAGTTTTCTGGAGGCAGTGGTTCACAGGATGTGTTTTTTTCGTTTCTTTTTTGGAGTCACTTGGAGTAGAGAAGCCTTTGTGGGGGCTATCGAAAATAGTTCCAAGTTCCGTCCTCTTTGGGTTGATCTTGGAGATCTAGCGTCCCTGACAAGCTTAACACTCCGTGCCGGTGTCTGGCCGGTGCCAGTGTTCCGCCAGTTTGGGCCACCCCGGCGACCGAGCGGAGCGCGGCGAGGAGCGGGTGCTGCCCAGCAAGTTACAGTGTACCCACTGCGGGACCTGGTTGGCCGACGAGGGGAGGCGAGGGGTTGGCGAGGGGTTGGCGAAATTCTTGGTGGCTGGGATCGCTGGGTGACATCGGTTTTTTTCGAGATCGATTGGGCAGGGTGGCTGGATAAGTGGACAATGGTGGACAGGTGTAGGACTAGGTGACGGGGTAACGACTAGATTCTAGATCTTGAGCAGCAACATGTTGGCATTGCTGGGTGGCGCTAGCTTATAGTCCACTTGATTTGAGCTGATGAACACTTATTTACAGCCTTCGGCATGCCGCCGGCCATCAGCTCGAGCCCGCACGGCTGGTCGCCATGGCCCGGGCGTGTGTAGCTGTGTGTAGCTATTGTGTTTTTTTGTGTGCAGGTTATGCAAAGGTTAGCTAACAGAGTGTACGATATCAAAGTGCGTGAAAACAAGGGGTTTGTGCGCGACAGGACTTGGAACATGCACGCTGGCTGGAGATGTTTGTGTCAATGAGGTGCGGCGTCAAAACGAAGTAGTGTAAGAGCCATGTAAGTGGAGAGCAACTGGCCAAAAACAAAAGCTGCGCTGGTGTTACAGCGAGTGGGCAGCGAACAGTACTTGCAGAGAGCGCGTGTGTAACACAGAGCTTCTGCAAAAGCGACATGTAAGCGAAAAAAAGTAGCGAGGAAATGGTTGCAAGGGGCTTGTGCGCGACATGCCTTGGAAGGTGCACAGGTTGCGGTGTCAGAGCGAAGTCGTGTAAGAGCCATTGCCTAGAATAACGCCGTGACAGCGTAAGCGATATAGCACCCAATTGGCAGCGAGTTCCCGCAAAACGCGTGGAAAAACCAAGGTTTTTATACGTTTTTCTACACGCGCGACTGTGCGCCAATGCATGGCCTGCTTGAAAAAGACGAGGGGGAAGAGAAGAGAAGGAGAACGAGAACGAAAAGAGAAGAGAAGCGAAGACAAGAGACGAGACAAGGCGACAAGACAAGACAAGGCGAGAGGGCAGTAGGAGCGCCTCAACATTAAAAGACGAAAAATGAGTTGGGAAGATGATTTTCATTACTAAAAGTACGAGCACCTCAACATCAAAAGAAGAAAAATGAGTTGGCGTCAGGCTGTCGAAAAATCCGCGCGGAGAGACAAACCTTAAGCTGAAGCCAAGACAAGCTATACTAACCAAGACAATCCACAAAACACGCCGGCAGGCCGGCGGACTAACCCCTCCAAGCCCTTTCCACATTGGTGCAAGAGATGTTCACCACGTTCCACACATCCTTGGGAACCATGGCTCGGGACCATGGACCCCTTTGCTTCGGCAGGAACAATTTCATGACCTTCCCCACGCTCTTCGACTTCCAAGGCCAAGGCCGGCGCTGTTCCGACCATCGCGACGCTTCGGGTCGAACGTTGGACCAACCGACTCAGTGACCCCCAAATAGATAGAACAGTAGATCACCACTAAAAATGTATTGGAAACCGTGCCGCGAAGACTCTTTGGGGATCACTATTTGAATTGACCTATACTAGTAAGTATAGTGCTTTTATGTGGAGATGCAGAAATTGGATGGGTGGAGATGCGGTTGGGATGGGAGACCGATGTTTCCGATACTTTTCTTCGGCGAGCAAAAAGAACATTCAATGTGATATATACAGCTTTCAACCCTTCAAGATGCCTTTTCAATCGAATCAGACTGCTTCCCAAATTTTCTCCTGTCACTGAATCCATCACTGAACCCCTCTGAGAGTGCCGCTCGCGCGGCTCCAGGCCCCTCTCGCTTCCCCGTGGCCTTCCGCCCACGCTGCCGCATCCACTGCGCCACACGAGCGCTGGCGGCTCAGGTGTTGTGGGGGTCTGGGGATGTGCCGGATGCGCAGCTGCGGTGACCTGCAATCAGATCGGAACGCTGTGGGTCAGAGCACCGGGGAACGGTCCACCTACCAGGATTTTTAGGGCTCCGATTTTTTGACCCACTGCCTTTGTTTAGAACTCAGGGCCTAGATGGATGTACTGCGGAGGGCATAGGCACAAGATCTTCTTTTGAGCACGTTGTGTTGGCAAATAGTTTTTTCTCCAACTGTTTTCTGCAACTGTTCGAACATAGTCTTCAGCTTCAGGTGAACCCTTTTCCACCTGAAAACGCCGCCACATCAGGCCGTTGTACTCGGTGAAATCGTGGTAGCTCCGAGCCGGCTTCCGGTGGACCTTCTTCGCGGTGGCGCCAGGACCATTTGCCGGCCTACCTCGATGATGGCAAGACACCGGTGTCCTTACAAGATTATTTGTTGGACATCGCCCCACCTTTGGATGGGCGGAGTTACAAGGGCCAGTCAGGAGAGCTGGGCGTGGGCGGCTGGACAGCGCTGGAGGGCGGGGGGGGGCACCGAAGTGGTTTAGATTTCACACGTACAAACAGAAGACCTCGAAGTCCCAGAATCGGAGATACATGTGTAGTTTCTCATGTTTTAAACGGTTTGCTTGGGCCCCTTAGAAGTGCAAGCACTGGGCCCTCTCAATCAATGGGCTTGAACATTCTTCCACAACAAAGGACATCCAAGGAGCCAGACTGAGCTCGAGAGGGCAAAAGGACATCCTTTCAAACCTTTCAAGCACTTGTTACATCTTTTAACTCTCCCAAAGGCCGCCTCGTCCCGCCTCGCCAAAATGCCCTTGTTGGGTGTGCACTGAAAAGGTCGGTCCGTTCTTTGACGTGTCACGTCTCGTCCTCGCGGCCCGTTCCGCCGTGCCGTTGCACACTGCCTTGCAGGACGGATTGGCGTGCTGGGCGGATCGGTCGACTTCACAGGCGGAGCGAGCGAGCGACGGAAGGACGACAAGCAGAGCGAGCGTTGGGCAGGGCGAAAGCGTCGTGAAACGGGCTTTTTCGCACTGGGGGGAGGCGAGCGAAAGGAAAACGCAGATATCTGAAGACCCTTCAAATCCAGAAAATACCTTCTCAGGAAGCATTTGGAGCCTTAGGGGCCGGGAGTGCCTAGAAAAAGAGAGTCGAAAAACCCCTGCAAATCGAGAGTAGAGCAGACATTGTGGGCCTGAAATGGGAGAAGATGAAAAAACATCCTCGGATTCATAGCCCCAACTTCGAACCTCAGACAGCCTGCTTCGAACCTCACTTCTTCTCATTCTTCGATCGATGGGGGTGCCCTGCGGCCTTCACCCGGCCCCTTCATTCGCACCACACGGACCGGGATCGAGGCAGTCGATCAAACCCCGGGCGCGCGATCGATCGACCCCAGGCGCTCCCTACTACGCCGCCATGGCTGCGCTACGCGTGGGCGCAGAGCTCTTGTATCTCTGCACCGCGGAGGAAGCCACAGGTGCGGAGAATCTCCGGTGCGTGTGGTACGGAGAAATGCCAATGGTTGCGGGTGGGTTGGACGTGCAAACGACGAATCGGCTGAGATTGCAGGATGTGTTATATACATTCATATGATACATATATAAACATATATTGTATAAACATCACATATGAGGTGGGAGGGGAGGGGAGGGTGGAATTGAGAAGGATTTAGCTTGGCACCTGTTATGCACTGAGACAGACAAAGGATCGCCATAGATGGTTTCCAGTTTGTTTCTTGACACCTTCAGTGGGTTCCTGACCCTTTTGTGACGCTCCTCAGCTGGCTTCCTCTTCAACTTCCTTCTTTTCAAGACACGTTGGCACAACCTGTCTTGTTTCAAACTTCAGATTCCTGACAAGGCGTTTGTGGTTGCTTGACCCAGGGGTTTGTGGTTCCTTGCCATTCTGGTTTCCTGACTCAGTTTCCTACCTCGGTCGTTGCCCGTGTGTTTAGCGTCCTCCGCGACAGGTCCCATTAAGGCCTACTCGCCCGAGTTGATGGTCAGCGAGGCTTTCAGCTTTCAGCGAAATGACATGACACATCACATACGGGGACTGGGCAGACTGGGCCGACTGGGAGGTTGGTTGGCAAGGTCGAAGGGGAAGGTGAACTCTGCACCAAGTGCATGGGAGTTTTTGGATGAAGGATGATGAAGGTAGTTCCGGACACCACTTCTTTTTCTGGGAGGGAACTCGCGAGCTGAAAAGGCCCGAGCTTTCTTTTCTCTTGGAGACAAGGCCCGTGGAGATCTTCCGTGTCTCCCGTGTCCCGAGAGTCTTGCAGATCATGAATATCCCGCCGCCTAATCACCCTAAATCCCACCGCTGTCCCATCACCCAATCCGTTGCTTTTTCCGCTGAGTCTCGGGTCTCGGCCGACAAGTCTTGTCCGCAGGTCTATCGCTGGTCCTCCATCTCCTCGGAGGACCCAGGCCGATCGCGGGGGGGTGGCTCCGGGGTTGCTGGGGGTCTGGTTTTGGAGAGGGTTGGGAGAATATGTCTCTCGTTCCAGTGCGGGTCTTTTTCCGTTGTGAAGGTAGATGAACATGATCAAAGATAGAATTTGGGTCCAATCCAGACACTCCAATCTTTATGACATGTGATCAACATGTGTTCTAGCACCAGGCTTTCGACCAGGTTTCCTCTTGGCCCGCAGCTACAGGTGTGGTGCAGAAGGAGATTGATCGAATGGTCTCCAAAATGGAGGCGAGAGCGACAACCGTATCACCTCAGAATCCCCCGGCCGGTTGGGGGAGATTCCCTGGGGATTTTTTGTCAAGTCTTTTGAGCTTTCATAGGCATCCTCCGATCCTCAGTGGACCAGTGGCACTTCTTGTCCTTTTTTGGGGGGTTGCTCTTGCCTGCCTGCACCCTCAAAGCGGCGGCGCAGGTTTGGTCCCAGAGGTAGCTCAAAAAAGAATCCGCAAAGCAGCGGAAGTTTCAGTTGAACATCGAAGCAAACCGCCCCCAAACCGCTGTTGAACATCGATTCAACCGTGGTCGTTTGTTCATGTTAGTGGATCAAGACATGGCTCAACATTTAACAAGGCTTTTAGTGACTTAGTGGTTGCACCAGTGCCAGTATACGTAAATCATAATCCATTTGATCATCTATTGATCCACATGTCAAAAAACACATTTATACAATTCAACCCCACTACACACATCTGTTGATCAAAGCAACATCAACCTCCAAAACCTCCAAAAACCATGTAATGCAATTCAATAATGATAATTCAACCTCCTAAAACCATGTTATCATAGAATGATATAGATAACATTGTTTCATATATTGATAAAACCCCAGTACCAGTCAGTGCCAGTGATGATTCAACGTGCCAGTGCCAGTCACCCGAGAGATGTCCGATGGCGGTTTCACCGCCAGGCACTGCTGCCGCGCTTCCATGCCTTGGCTATTGGCCCTGGCTTGGGGCGTGAGACTTGGCATTGTCATTTGGCAGGATTATTTAGATTAATATTGGTATTCTTTATTTACTGTGCAACATAATTAGCCACATAGTTTGAATCTATTCAATTTGCTCTTATATGTAATTGTGTAAACATGAAATTGGTGAAGTAGGATAGCGCCCAGAACCTGATGAGATTAGACTGAATCCACACCCATCTGCAACTCAATCCTTATCTGAGGTCCACCCCAGGTCATATTTTCTTAGCCTGTGGGGGCAGGGATTCTGGAATTTGGATTGAATGGGATGTCGGTGCCCATACTCAACTGATCAATCTTTCAATGGCGCGCAGGGGGTGACGATATTTAATGGGATCTTCAAGAGTTTGTTGGTAACCAGCTTCCGAAATGCAAGCATTGAAGTTGGATGTGAGCCCACTAAAGGCCGCGACATCAAGGAAGTGTTCTCAGCTTCAGAGTCCATTCCTATATGCAACACATTCATGCGTATAGCTAATAGTCTCACTAATGTATTTCGATCTATTTGGGCGTTCCCACAAAGCATCGCCTGGACCCATTTCCTTCCACCTCTCGTCCTTCTCGGAAACCGGTGTCGCCCAGGATGACCGGGTGCTGAAGGCGGTGGCGCGCATCATCGAATTGGCCAAGGCCCGCGGCTCCCCGTGCGCGACTCAGGGCGCTCCCGGGCTGCGGAGCGGAGCAGTCAGCAAGTCAGCTGGGACTTTCGATGCGACCAGGGCGACGGGCATCGGTTCGATTCATCGAAGTCTAAGAGATCCAACCAGCCCATGACCTCACCCCATCACAAATTCTCCGTCGATCTCTTGATCTTCAGAGGTTGCGAGGTGAGTAGGCTCATCTTGAAACAGAAAAGCACACCCAACAAACCGGTATTTTTGGTTTCATGGCTCATCTTGAACCGGGGAGAGGTGGCAGCAAACGTTTTCCAATGCTTTCCACCCCGTTCTCGGCACTCTCTCCAAGTGGATGTTCCCTTTGCCAAGCTGGAAACGCCCTGAAGAGGGGATCAGGAAATGATAATGACATCCATTCCTCTCCTCCCCCCAATTTCCTTACCTGAAATTCCTGGTTTGGCGGATCTCAGTTCTTGGGGGAGTCGTCCTGGTGAAGACTTTTCCTTGGTAATTTCTTCCCGGTTCCTTAAGCCTGCACATCCAAGGTGTTTCTGGTGTCTCTTGTGTTTCGTTCTGCTAACCATGTGGGTCGCCGCCGCTTCGCCTCTGAAGGATCTGAGCCTTAAATGACCATTCCCTTTTCCCTTGGCGAATGATCAATTCAAAAGCATTTCGTTCATCCCAGGTGATCACTTGAACTAGAGTGATCACTTGAGTGATCCCAGGTTTTATAGCCAGGAACATCCGGGAAAACCCCGACCTCCAACAGTCGAACAGAATTCTCTTGGTCCTCCAGGTTCTTCCACCATGCCCTTCCTGGCTCTCCCCCGCGCGTGCCAGGCGCGTGAGCTGCCGCTGGTCATCGACGCCGATGGTCTGTGGCTCATCGAGCGTCTGCCGGAGCTAGTCGCAGGCGAGCTGGGTCCACCGGCGGCGTTTGCGGCGCGTGAGATGCAGGCGATGGGGGGAGGAGTTGGCTTCCTCATATTTGAATGAGTGGCTCCATGCATTTGCGCTACTGCATGCAGAGTTATGAAGAAAGCACGATCAAGTAGGGCTTTTCTATCGGTTGCCACAATGCGGCTCCCGCTCCCTCCCATTCCTCGTTTGGAGGGCACAAGCTAATGGAATTGACCTACGCCAAAGGGCAATGTCTTTTTTGAGGTATTTGACCGAGTTTTGTAGTGCTGTTGATTTACCAAGAGTTTGGTTCCAACCTTATATCGCCACTGTGTTGGTGGACTCGCCAATTGTCGACCAGAACAAACCTTCTCCGTTTCGTTGTTGCGTTTGTGCATTGTGGTCCTTCTATCTGTTCCACCATGATTAAGACATGCATTCCGTTGTGGTGCCCCAAATTTACGCCATAGCACCACAAGCAGATCTCCATCCGTTTCTTGAAGTCTCCTTGTTGCCACACTTGAACTGCTCGGTACTTTTGGAGGTCGAGAAGCTGGTGACCTTTTAATTTTGAGTGCCGCTTCTACTTTGTACCCTCACCATCCTTCCCAAAATGGAAGTGGAACAGGGCGGAAGGGTGGCATGGATCTACAGAGGGGTTCGGGTTTCTGCTTCCATGTCTCACACAATACTTGGGGATCTCGTGTGATTTCTCCTGCAAATGACCTCGCATGCTTGACTTACGAACATCAACATGAAGATCAGGATAAAAAGTCATCTAAAAATCCATAGATGGAACGTACCTGGACCATTCTCTCTGGGTGTCCAATGGAGATGGTCCTGGTACTGTTCCATTTCTCTACGTGTTCGTCCACGTATATGATCCATCCATCTTCTTTTTTGCCCAGGCTATTCTCGGGCGGTGCTGACTCCCAATGCCGCAGAGTTCCGCCGCTTGTGCCAAGCCGTTGGCTGCGAGGAGCTGTTCTTCTGCAGACTGCATGGGCTGTGCAGAACGTCTGAGTTGAGAACTTTCTGTGCCAGGAGGATTGCAGTAGTAGTAGTAGTAGTAGTAGTAGTAGTAGTAGTAGTAGTAGTAGTAGTAGTAGTAGTAGTAGTAGTAG